ACAAGAGCACTCTAGCTTGGCATCTTGTGTAGAATGTACACAAGGCTAAATTAGGACTTTTACAGGGCAAGAGATAAAAGGAAACAGAATAGGGAACTAATCATAAATTGCAAGACTATCCTATTTCAATGATTTGGTTTCTCTAGTTTTGTTTCCACAAAATTGGTGACAATTAAGCAAAACCCATTTGCTACTTTCAATAAGCTAGTTTGATTTATAATTATCGAAGTTAAAATCAACTTGGTCTTGTTATCATCAATTTAACTGACAAACATGTTTTTGATATTTCCTGTCTTTATAAAAAGGCAGTAGTTGCCAGTTCTGTATTACTTCAAATTACCTCTATCTAGTCAAGATGAATAATCAGTTCCATCAAACTCAAGATAGTGATGGCTACTTACCAATGCAGGGAAAGCAGGAAAATGAAAATGTCTATGAGCTTCCAGAAATTTCTAACAAAGGACACCAGCAGCCTCTTCCACCACCTTCTGAAGATATAGCAAATGCTACACAAAGGCAGTCATCTTGGAGTAAACCACAGCTTTGTATGACAGTATTACTCTGTCTCATATTGATATTATTAATAATTATACTGGGCATTGTTACTGTAGTGTATGCTACTGGTAATAATGTTGAGTGTACTAATACTGCAACTGATGCTAGCAGTAGTGAATGTGAAACTACAAGAGATTCTGCACAATAGCTCATTAACATTGTCAATACTCTCTCTAATCTACAAGACACCAGTACCTCTACTGCTGGAGTGGCTGATGATATACTACTAATAGCACAAGAACTATTAGTACTACACAATGAATCAACTGCTTTACCTACCTCTTGTAAGCAAATACATGAACAACAACCTAACAGTCCATCAGGTTATTATATACTGGCAGGACCTACTGGAACATATTCTACATACTGTAATATGGGAACATTGTGTAGTTCAGTAGGAGCATGGACAAGACTAGCACATCTGGATATGACTGATGCTACAAAGAACTGTCCTTCTGGGTTTAGACTGTACCAGTCAGGAAGAGTTAGAGCTTGTGGTAGACGAGTAACACGCAGAGGTAGCTGTGTATCAGTTCAGTTCCCATCTAATGGTATCAGTTATTCTCAGATATGTGGCAGAGTAACAGGATATCAATATCATTCATCAGATGCAAGAGTGAGTGGTAATATCAATTCTCCTTATGTTGATGGCGTTAGTATCACTCGTGGATCTCCTCGTCAACATGTCTGGACTTTTATAAGTGGACGGAGTGATACTTATGACCGTAACCACTGCAGCTGTAACCAACCTCAACGACTTGTTGGTAATAATTATTTCTGTGAGTCTGGTAATCCTACCAGTAAAGCTAATAAATTTTTCACATCTGATCCACTCTGGGATGGTCAAGGTTGCGGTTCTCTTGAATCAGCTTGTTGCAATGTTCCTGGTATCCCATGGTTTCACAGAGACTATGGTAACACTACCACTGCTGACTATATTGAGCTGAGGGTGTGTGGAAATGAAGGGACAAGTAATGAAGACAGTCCTGTTGGCTTTTATGAGATTTATGTCAAATAACTTTGTAATTCACTAACAATTGTTCTTGTTGACTTTCTAGGTTACAAATGCTATTCTTACTCCTTCAGTTATTTTTTACTTCTTCATATGCATAAAACACTATTGTGCTACATGTACATGTATGTGTAATTTTG